GTGTGTGTGTGTGTGTGTGTGTGTGTGTGTGTGTGTGTGTGTGTGTGGTGTGTCTGGTCTTGATGCTGTTAGACAAGGGGGGACCCACACAGTTTTATGCCGCCTCCAAATGACAAATGAGGAGCCTTTTCAATGCAGAAATACACTCAGAGGTTTGAAACTGCCTATCGAAAGGCGACCGCTGTTAAGTAAAAGTATTATTTCTGTAATTTTTTGCGATATGTCTTCGACCAGCAGGAATCGAACCTTAGTCTTACGGAGTGGTATCTAGTACGCAACTCTAACCACTCAGCTACAGCTGTCACCGCAGTAGAACAGTTTTTTACACGCAGACGCATGCACATACTAAAACATATCCAAAGTAATTCGAAATCAATTAAGTACATAGATGTGTGTTTTAATGGGTTCACTTCCGACAATACATAAAATTGAGAGTCGAAAAGTTATAAGAGAAGAGCATAAAAACTGACTCAAGAGAAAATCTTGCATTTGATGCTTATCGCCACTAAACCAAAACAATCCGGTTATTGAAGTGATTTGTATAGACAAATGTAAATATTTAACAACTATTGAAGCTTACATTAATAATAACCTAAGTTACATATGAATACATACATACATACGTCTAGACTGGAATGTCAAGGGGATTTTTAAGCGAATGGCTTTCGAAATGTGTATTTCTTTTTGTACATATCTATTCCGCGAAGCCGCTGACGTGAAAGATAAGAATGACTCATTTCCTCTGTTTCTGTTTTAAACATTTAAATGTTCTAATGTACGTACCCGTGTCATGACGTCACGAAATATGACTACAAAATCTTCCAGCACATCACCTTGTATGGCCATTTGCTGGAGATTCTGGTAATCAGTTGGCCAGTTGTTGTTGTAGCTGCGCAGCATTTTATAACTTAATTAATAATGATGGGAAATCCGAAAAATCCCAAAACACGAAGTTGGCAACTTTTTTTCAAATTGCGTTTGCAAAAACCGATTCTATTTTCGCGTACACGAATTAACAGCACCACAAAGTATTGGTCAATGCACTCGTGCTACCCTTCGATGATCGGATTCCGGAACACTAAATTTATTGCCCTTGGAAAATTACAAACTACTTCGAATTAGAATTTTCCCACGTAAAAAGCTTGAAAGATTCTATACGCGAACTTCTATCGCTGCTGGTGCTCCTTTTCGAATATGTAGCAATATTTATCAACAAATGTTTACATACATAAACAAACGTTTCGGAAAGGATTACAAATCAAAGTAATTCCAGAAAGTGCAAACTAAATTACTTCGTTGTTTTTGCGTTATGTTATGTAATCACCGCAATTGCAAGCGAGCGCCGAAACGCGTCTTCTATATGAGCATGATGAACAGAGACTGAACTTGGTGTGCTAGGAAAAGATAAGCCCATCAAGCACAAAACATTATCATGTTTTTCCTCTCACCAATACACAGGCAGGCAGAGCCACTTGCTCGGTGCAAAGTACATTGAATTTTATTGTTGTTATTGGCATTTGACGATCAAAAAAGCTCATATAGAACAGCGTTTATATTTGCTGTATGGACACGCGTATACAAATACATATCGGACACCGTCTTCAAAAGAGTCACAACTCAAAATTTGGCATTTTTGAAATTATGCGCTAAAAATGTACACAACACCCTTTATTTACCTTTCAACAAAAGCTGGAGCAAATTTTTGTTATAATTTGTTAAAAAAACCTAAGGTAAAGTCGTCGTTGCCCATATGATTAACATGTGCTACGAAATAGTTTTTCGCATTTTCTGACGAACGTCAGTTATTTTGAGTTGTGACTCTTTTGAAGACGGTGTGTGATATGTATGTATTCAAATGTACACATGTATAGCTATACTTTATACTAGGGATGTTTCGAATGTCATATTTTCGGAATGTGCGAATGCGAATGTTAGGAATAACATTAAAAAAAAAACTATAATCAACTTAAGTCATCGTTTTTATTACTTAAAAATTTTGTAAATTATTAGAACGTTTAATGAGGGCTTAACCTATACAGTGGTTTAATCTAGTAGTCAAAGTTCAAAGGGGGCATATTATATAAAAAAAAAAGTATTTTTGCTGCCTTTTCTCCCATGAGGCGATTTCTTAGAGGCTCGTATATAAGGCCGGAACGCTGGCAGGTGCAGCGCTGAAATATTTGCGTGCCAGATCTGTCAATTTGTCGTATTGTAGTTTAGTTTTCCATCAATCGAGAGGTTTTTCACCGAGATGAGCTCGTTTTTTTTAAAGACAGGCTTTTATTTCGCATTTTAATGTCTTCAGACTCTAAAATTATATGTTGCTTGACATACTACTTAACCGTTTAGCGCTTGAAGCTAAAAGCCGGTTATTGTCCGCACCCTGGTTAGACAGACTTAGAGCCATTTCCAAACATTCGTATCATTTGATGTCGAATGCGAATGTGTAAAATGAAGCGAATCATTCGCATAACGAATGCGAATGCAAATATTCGCAACATCCCTGCTTTATACATGTTTTTGCATATAAATGTGTATATGTACATATGTATACTAAAATATGAATATAGATATTTTCTAATCAGTCATGAGCTATCAAAATACCTGCATACAAGTCAGGAGAAAGACCAAAAGTAACTCGGACAAGCCCCCCTATTTCTACTAAACGAAGCGGCCTGCCCAAGATTTCAATAAAGGTTGGTACTTTTCCGCTGTACAGAGGTGCAATAATTTATCATTTATTTCCCCGTATTGTAATGAATTTAAATAGATTTACAAAGCGACACTTTATCTTTATACTAGTTTTATTAAATCTAGATGATATTCGCCTAGTGCAATATGGGCGTGATGGGCGTGGTTAAGAGAGAATGATAGAATTATATTTTCAACCAAATCGACAGTTTGTATTTAATTGCATGCTGTTTCCGAGGTGAACGTGACGGGTCATCCAAAATAATAATTTACACGCGCATGAGACTGTTATCATTTTTTTGTTTTTTTGTTTTTGATTTTGCAGCCCCTAATTGGTGAATTGTTAGTAAACAAATGCTAAAGTGCCACGAAACACATACATATATAGTATTTACACAGATAGGTACGTATGTACACGTATATATATACATACGTACATACATAATCTATACATATGAGTATCATGAAAAGGATACAATATATCTGAAACGCTAGTTGTACCAATTATTTTCAAGCGAATTATTGATCTAATCCTGTTAAGAGAACAAAATAAATGGCACAAAGCCGAAACCGAGGTTGTCCTAACTTGACAATAGATGACGGATATTTCTTCTAAAATTGAGTTATGCCAAATACTCTCCAGTGCCAAGCTCTTAAACTTAAAGAAAAGAAACAAAGTTTTTACTTTAAAAAATTAATATATGTTTCAGTTGCTAATGTTTTATCCATCACTGTGTTGTTCATATGCGCAATAAACTATTTTAATAAAAATATGTTCATTTATAAAAAATACTTACAGTAGAATGCCGCCAGAATTTTATCAAATCGTGAATGTCCGTGGATGGTGCCATTAGTAGAAAATCGCGCCATTCATTAAAGCTAATATTTAAACTGCCATCTTGATCCATTCTGTATAATTAATTGCAAGATAAGAAACATTATAAATAATTGCAGAATTAATTCGAAATAACATGAAAAGAAGAAACAAAAATTAAAAATCATGCATAAACGTACTTGTCACCGATACATAAATACATACATACATACATATACATATTTACATTCCGACACTGAACATGTGCACGTCACTCACATACACTTTACTTAATCTACACACGATCTCACCTTAAATCTGAGTATTCGTATTTAATCCTAATAGGGAACGAAAAATGCAAACATCAAATGAAGCCAAACTTAGGAGTTTTATGAACTAAATAAATTGGACTTCAACTCTTTTGTCACTTATCTAGTAATTAAAGATATATATAAATTGGTTAGTGTTCGGTAACTTTATAAATTTCTTTTTGTTTTTTGCAATTGTTTTTTTTTTTTTTTCTTAAAGGCGACTGCATGGCAATATGCCTTCTTAAACTACCCAAAGCAGGCTAGGTAACTCCTTTGAAAAAATCAAGTAGTTTACGTTCTCAGTTACATATGTATGCATTTTGGAAGCATATAAGTGTCGTTATGTATGTCTGGACTTACCCTAAATCTTTTGGGCGAACTAAAAATTGCTAAAAAGTATTATGTTTGGGGTTTTAAGGGTGAATGGCACACTTGTTTATGATAAAATGAGATTGTATTTAAATGTGATAGCTATATATGTATGTATATGAAAAACTAACTGCCCTGCAAACCAAAGTTCCCGAAATCTTATCGAAATCTTTAGAAGTATCTTATTTCTGTTGCTGATTTTTTTTTACGAATCTTCAAAGAAAATTATATGAAGTGGTTGTAATGAACTCCTAAAGAAATTTCTGTGCGAATAATGAAGGAAGCTGTGAAAAAATTCTGCAAGAAATTTTTCACATAGTATCATTATTTTCATTGCTTAACCGATTTTCTTCGGAAATTTCGTAAAATAATCGAAGCTGGCACAGTTTATTTAATTTTAGAAAATTCGAATGAGATCTTTACGAATTCCTTAAAATTTCTTTACAGTTCAGAATACTCTGAAAAAATGGTCCGCAGGGTGCTCACACGTGAAAATGTATGCGTTTGCAGGATGCCTGCTAGAATTCAAAGAATTCAGACAGTTGCATTTGCAAAAGATGTAGTGAACATGAAAATTGATGACAGTGTTTGTAAAAAATATCTAAATATGATTAACAGTTAATCTACAACTAATCAAACTGCTACAGACAGTTAAAAAAGTAGTCAAATATTTTTAATATTTCATTATACTAATTTGTAAGCACCCACCGTGACAGTAGATTTGTTGCCTCTTCTGGGTCAACTTCTATGCCCAAATCTTTGAAGGCGTCGATTAGTTCCTCCAAGTCTACTTTACCTGTTTAATAAATAAGAATACATATTTCAACAAGAATAGGACACAACCATAGACGAAAGTTACACACCATCTTTGTTTTTATCCAAGTGCGAAAACTGTAGTCGCAAATTCTTTTCATGTTCTCGTACATAGAAAACAAACTCGGCAAGCCCAACATCGCCACTTTGATTAATATCAGATTGCTCCAGAAATTTCTGGAAGTAAAGTTAATAAAGTTAACAAAATTTAATAGAGCAAAGTATTAACTTGTTATAGGAAAGTTGTCTAAAAAGCCAAACAATAGTTCTTTCGCCGATATGCATACGTATTTTACAATCAGTAGTTTGTGTTAAAAAACACACACACACTTATGCTGAGTTGTAACTTTAGGATAGTAGTTGGGCTGCGGAGGTATGTACATACCTCAGCGTAGACACTCGAAAGACCAAACTCTCGTAACGCTTCAGAAAGATCATGAATATCTATTCGACCATTTCCATCCCGATCAAGACGCTTGAACAGCTTCTCCAGCCTTTCCTCGTCTTCTTGTGGCAACTCGGTAGCTACTTGAGCATGGGCATTGCTACCGCTGGTAAGAAACTGTGGGAATGCTGCCGTTGCCGTATTATCATGACCTTTAGTTTGATGACTCGATGCGGTAGGACTCTGATGGTGTGATTCAGTGGTGTTTAGTACACTCTGGATGGGTATCAATTTTGGATGGTTATGACTGCCTACCGAGTGAGATGGATTCACCGCGCTCTGACTGCAGCTTGCTCCCGTATTTATAGATGCATTTGGCGTATATGATGGTGGCGAGGAATTCTGGGATTTTTGCGTTATACTATTTTTATCCTGGTTCTGGACTATATTGTTTGATACAATATTCTTTTCTTCGTCTTTATCCACCATTATAGTTACCAGTCCAGTAATGAAACTTGACTTTCTCTTATAAACTTAATGCGAGTCAACTTCTTATAGGTATCTTCCTTGCTAACGAAAATATATTTAGAAAAAATTTGTGTATTTGAAGTTTACAAATTGCATTATACATATGTATGTGAACTCACCTCGATTAATATGTATCAGCGTCGACTGCGCCGTCTGCCAACCAATCCTTCTTAATGCCAGTGGTTCCTCGTTGTTTGTGTATTCTAAAGATAATTGATTATAAACAAAAGTCTGGGCATATGACAGTCATATTGGTGCTCTCAAAATGTGAATACACCGCATATGAATTCATACTTATACGAAAAAATCACTACCAATATTACAGTACCTTCCACGTTCTTCGGATTACTCCATTAATATGTAGAGCTTTTGGTGGCAATTGCAGAAAGCCTTAATTTTTGGCACTAGCGCATATTTTTGTTACTAGAAATTATTTTGATAGTAACATTTACAGTTTTTGAAAAACAAAGCTATTTTTTCCAATTCTTTACTTCATTATTATTGCCATTATTGAACGTGAGCTCATCAAGTGAAAACGCAGGAACGTAATTGGATAAATAAATTGCATGCGTGTATGTGAAATAGGGATGTTTCGAATGTCATATTTTCCGGAATGCGAATGTGCGAATGTTAGGAATAACAATGAAAAAGCTATAATCAACTTAACCTTGGAAGTACATTCTTAATTTTGTATATGTAAACAACGCACGTTGTCGGCTCGTAGATTCGGCGAAGAACGTACATTATAGAACATTGTACAGAGTTTTAATCTAGTAGTCAAAGTTCAAAAGGGGCATATTATGTTTCAAAAAAAAGGAATTTTACTGCCTTTTCTCCCATGAGGCGATTCCTTAGAGGCTCGTATATAAGGAACGCTGGCGGGTGGGGCGCTCAAATATTAGCGGGCCAGATCTGTCAACTTGTATTTTAATTTAGTTTTTCACCACTCACCGAGTTAAGCTCGTTTTTCTTTAAGATAGGCCTTCAATTGAGCTTTAATTTAACATTTTTTTATGTCTCCAGAATCATTCGAATAGCTAATGCGAATGTAAATATTCGCAACATCCCTGATGTGAAACTGCCGCGGTGAAAGCAATATTGTTTTTATTTTCCTAGGCTTTGGCATATGTACATGTATAAACTCTACAAATAATTTTTAACATACACATTAAGTTCCACATGTACTTAAAAAACCAAATTAATAAAATTTAAACCAAATAATTCCAAATACAACTGTGTATCGAATTCCAACTGATGCAGGTAAATTTGACGCACACACAATATTTGCACAAAAATGACAGCAGTATGTACATATGTATGTATGTATGTATATATAGGCGTGTTTCTTAACTTTTTACAGCTGATGGAAGCAGATTGCCGAAGAGTAGAATTTTCCTCGCAGATCGAAAGAGGAAAAAAATAAACGAAAATTAGCAAATTTGCAATCACTGTATATACACACACACACACACACATCTTCAAATGCATGTACAAATACTTACATTCTGCAATATTTCAATGTGTTTTGATAATGATGCACTCATTTTTTTATTATTAAAACGAATTAAAATAAACTTGCCAAATTTTTCCTTTCGCGTTTTGAACAGCTGCTTCGTAAACATACATATGACTGCAAGTTTCTGCTGGCAGAAATTTCGCCAGCAGAAATTTGCAGCTCTCTCTGCAAATTTTTTGTGTTAAGAAACGCTTTCCAGCAGAATACAGTAAAAATTTTGAATAGTTTTTCGTTGGGAAACACAACTTATGTATGCTCGTACTTGGGGCTGAAATCGAAACTAACAGCTGATTATTATACCGGGCAACCAGAGCTGTTAAATTTCCATTACGATTAGTAATCAGTAATTTTTTGGATAATTTTAATGATTATTTTAATTTCCTTACATAATCCAGCAATTAATAATTAATTATAATTAAAAATAGTCATGATTAATGTTCAATTAATTGATTATTTTTAATTGTTTGATTTTTATAAATTATTTGATTGTTTTTAATTATTTGATTACCTGCAATTATTTTAAATTATTTTTCCAAATAATGTTATGTAATTAAAAAAAAGTTGAAAATAATTGAAATTAATCAAATAATTATATTGATCATCTATTAAAATTTTAAAAAATTATTTTAAATAATCAAAAAGAACAAAATAATTATGTAACTAAAACTAATTAATTTTTTTTACCAACGCTTTTATTTAAGTTATAATAATACTCATTGAAAAGGTGCAAATAATGATGCAAATCATTAATCGGTTACCCAAAAACATGCTTTAATTAATAATCATTATTTAACAGGTCTGCCGGCAACACACGAAGGAGAATTCTATCAAGTAAGGGTTATAATCCCTAAGCGCGTCCGAAGGCTTACAACGCACAGGTTTCGGTTAAATCTTGTAAATTCTCTAAACAATAATGGTATAATAGCAAATTAAGCATCAAACGAAACAAAAACATGTTCTATATCAATTAGAAACCTCTAAAATTAAATTAAAAATTATTCGAGCTATATTTTCAAATTTAAATTTTCAACGGAAAATTAGTTGTAAAACAAAATTAAAGATTACATACCATATGTGCAGAATTGAGTAAAAATCTTAGTAAATTTTTGTCAGTGTGCCTGCGAAATCCACCGATTGACCTCAACCCTGATATTAAAAAGGGAGCAGAATAACTTTAAAACGGAGCCCATCACATTCGCTGAAGCAAAGTATGGGCTCGATTTCACGCGATTTTTTCCACAAAACCTACTTTTGTGCGTATACACCGAAAACCATTTGACCTTCTTTAATCACACCTAAAATTTTTGTCAACTTTCACTAGCTCACATACATACCTACGTAAAGCTGATGGCCATAGTATTCGACACAAATGCAGCTGTCTGGATGCCACCTGAGAGCAAATGCCAGTTACGCACACAGATGTATTAATTTGCTGTTTTGCAATATACGAAACTCAATAGATTTGGTTTCTGCGTATTCAATAACTAACTATATTATATCTGTATATTTATATTATTGGGAATTTTGCAAATTTGCTTAGCTCAAAAAGTGATGTTGCACTGAATTCACTCCGCTTGTATCACTATCGCACTCATTAGAATGGCTACCACACCTGCCAAAAAATATTTCGCTGCTGCAGCAATTGCACTTTTTTGCGGACCGATTTCCACGCAAAGGTTGCACACAGATTTGTCTTCCTATGAAACTGAATTCCTCCTGATTTTTCCAACCGTTTTGTTCTCAGTTATAACACACAATTTATGCCACTTTATTGTTTTTTTAATTTATTCACAATTTCTTCGACAGAGAATGTGCAAAACGGTTAACACGTAGCTGTCATCGGTCTAAGAATAGTCACCACACTAAGCTGCCATATGTGAAATAAATTACATTAGTGAGGTGAAATTGGAGCGTTTTTAAATTGCTTCTGAATAAACCGAGTACTCTTACTTATATTACCACGGCAGCCGGTTCTACGTACCGCAATGACTCGGGGTTTTACCCGACCAAGGGCGATCTAACCCCGTTTAGGTCGGCGAAATCGATCAAAGGTTGCCCAATTATGGGGCTACATCTGCACAGGGCTGGCATAGAGTCAAACTCAGGACCAGAAATGTACACCTCCTGCATATGCCATAGACGATTACACGCAAACTCCAACTCGGTCTATTGCCATACGTAGGTGAGCGTAAGTTCCGCAGGGTTGTCACAGCTGCTGCAGGATGTATTTCGGACCCCCGTCCGAGTTTTCCTGCTGAAGCGGCTGACGTAGCCGATTAGCGTGACAACCTTCGTCAGGTCGAAATCCCCGTATCAAGAATCTAAACACGAAGATTCGCTATCTCAGAATTCGATTCAAAAACGCCCTATCTAAACATATTTTCAATATATTTTCAGCTGAGTTAGAATGCTTTTCAAACAAATTTTGAGATAGGGCGTTCAACCAAATTCTGAAATAGATCGTCTTTGAAACAAATTCTAAAGTAGGGCGTCCTTGAAAAGCTTTCTGTGATTGGGCGTTTTCAAACCGGTTGTGGAGTTATTTCTTTTTATTCCGAATATGAACCATATCGGACTATAAATACAGGGGGTCAATTCCTGTTCTGCGTTATCGTGAAGTGAAGTGAAAAGTAGAAAATTCTCACCAAAATAAGTGCGGTGTGAAAGTGTTATTTTTATCATTTCTAATAACGCAGAACGAGAATTGACCCTCTGTTTTTTTCAAATACACCCACACCGGCGCCAGCTAGCGGATTAGTTCCTCTTTCATATTGCATTGTCATAGGTTTTTGAGCTAAGTTTGAAGTTTCAAGTCTCTAGCCCATCGAGAAGTTGGTTAAAGCTGGCGTAAGATTTGATTACAAACAGGAGACACTTAATAAAAGCTTGTAAAAATTAAACCAGTGGATAGCCAAAACGCGAAAAAGATAGGAGTTGGCCATCTTCTTCCACGAGTTGTGTCATTTTTCGACAAAAACGTGGTTCACCTATATTAGAAAATGCATTATCTTCAGTTTCGTATAAAGAACAAGACTCCATCGCGAAATTGCGTTTAAATGAAAACTTAAAAGGATATATACATATTTACTAAAAAAAAAGTAAGAGTAACCACTAATGCTCGTATGTACATATACCCCCAGAATGATAGAATACAAGATTGCGCCGATTGCAGCAGAATTCGTGAGAGTAACTTTAGCGTGACGTCATCGTAGAGTTGACAACTGAGAGCGGCGAGAATGAGGGCGACTAGTGATGTGCTGAATTTGCCCCAATACTCGGTACCCAATACTTAAAAAAGATTTCGGTACCCTATACTTCCTTTTCGGTATCCGATACCGATTATTTACATTAAACCCTCGCCATTATATGCATTTCAGGTTTAGAAAAAACTTTCATTACTAATTTATATGATATCGGCTAAAACACTTGAACTTATCGCCACAGAAAAATATTATTTTATCAGTTTTAACCTTAGTCGGTCCAAGGTTCAAGAAAAAATACTTTGACGGATGAAGAAGCCTTTCAGGGGAGAGATTCTGTAGCCAGTTAGCGACAAGTTTCGGATCGATATCGCACTTGTTGACTTACAAATATTTGATATCAAACGTCGACAAAACCGATACCGATTCGAAAATTGTCGTTAACTGGTTACAGAATCTGTCCCAGGCCTACAAAAATGATATCGTCCGATTCAGCTGGAACAAAAATGCTTCAAAAAAGTAAGGGTTGCTCTGTCGAACCGACATATATACATCTTTCATTTGAATCAATAAAAAAGCTCTATTGGCTCTTACATTCGGGTTTTGTTAGGCGTTTTTTCCATATTTTTGGCCTATGTGCGCTTTTATTCGAAACCTAAATGTTTCGGTACCGAGTATCGAGAGTATTGGGTACTTAAAAGTATTGACTCAGCACATCACTACTGCTGTCTTCTCTACTATGACGTCACCAAAAACAGCTGATTCTGTCAAAATCACTGAGAGCCGAGTAGCGGTATCGTCATCGGCGCCACCTCTGTATTCTCTCCACCGTGGGCGCCACCTCTGTATTCTCTCCACCGTGCATATACCCGTAGTTGCGTATGTAACGTATACGCCCCGTAGCACCACTCGAAGTCACTAACACGTTTACTCGCACGTCTAATTAAAATCCATATTATTTAAAAGTAATTAAATTTTGGCGTTTAAGATTTTTACACAGCATTCCTCATGCACATATATATTTCTTTCTCATGGACATATATGTATAACAATTTTAGTCTGAAGTTCGAGTGCACCAATAAAAATTGTTAAAATGGAATGTTAGTTTC